AAAGAAGCATCATTAAATGAAAAGATGTGCGCGTTTTTTTCTTTAAAACTATTTATTTCTAAATTCCCGTTAATATATAAAAAAATATCTGGTACCGAAATGGATACCACTTGAAAAAACACTATTCATACAATCAAATCAAGCAAAAAATAATTTACATCCCACATTACATGCCAGACAATTTGTATTAATAAGATTGCCATAAGATAAAGCACCTATGGCTTGCATTAAATTTTAATTATTTCTTAATTCGCGTTTTACTCGAATGCTCGCATTATTATTTACTGTTTAAGAGGATTCTATCGGTATAATTCTAAAGTATAATTATTAGTCACGTACAAATATTTATTTTTCACAATGATAAGATAGCTTCTAAGCCGGTGCTATAGAATTTTAATTAGTTTATTCATTTGTAACTAACTTACATTCTTGGTTGCTGCATCCTGAATTGTTCAGTTCATTGTATTTCACTAACGTTATACGTTTTATGATTGATTGATTCTTTCCAGTTGAAGCTGTTGAAGTTGAGGCCTAAATGATAACATGCCTGATTTTTGTATGGACATACACTTCTCTTTCTTAAATAAACCAATCTAAAAGACTTTCTTTTGCGTGGTAGACAATTAGCCGATATCTACAAGATGAACAAATGATATCGACACACACTGGCGCTTTCACTACTCAGACTAATAAATACACAAGTCAGATCAGAACAGCTTAAAAGATCGAATATTAAAAAAAACAAATAAATTCAGCGCATCACTTGTGATACTAACATTTTTCATGTGACTCACCAAAATGTAGATACTTATTCATTCTCTTTCAATTTTTCGTAACATAAGTAATAGCTGACTATTAAATTATATATTTTCACGATTTCACTGATTTCAAATTAATAAATACTTCATGTGCATCATTTTTGGCATTTAAGATATGAAAGTCAGCGCGAATTTTGTTAACCAATGTTATGTTCATGCATATGTAAACACACTGTAGGGATATTTACTTACAAATATGTATCAATATATTAATTTGTAAATACTGATCTAAACACAAATCTTTTCTTATGGGTTTGAATGTCATGCATACCTCTTTTTCCTTTAGCGGGCGTATAAGTGAAGTGTATAAACTCTGAAAAATCTATAAAACAGCGTTTGTTCAATATTTTTGTATATATATGAAAACCAAAGAAATAAACTTAAAATTGATTAAAATAAAATAGAAAACTGTTATACCACAAATATACACAATCCAACACTTCGAGAACTCAGCTTACTTTATGTACTCTTTTGCATTTTGAGATGTATATATGTATGTATGCTTAACCCATTAACCACATTTTGGTTTAATTCTTCACACCCAGAACTTTTTAAAAATTCCCATTAATGCCACACAATACTCTAAACCATTGGCGTCTACTGTATCTGCAATTTTACCTTGCCTCGTCTATAAGCAAACCAACACTCGCCGATCCGAATAGTAAGTATTAGCCGTACAAGATAATGTAATTGATATCAATGAGTGAACAACAAAGAAAAGGATTCATAATGTGAAGAAAGATAAAATAGAAAGTTTTACGCAAGGTTTTTCCTGACAAGCTTAACATTTCAGATGCCGAGTTGGATCCTAACCGTCCATCTAGAAAATTTTCTGCCCCTAGGCCCCTGGAAGACCCTCTCGATGTGGAGGCCAAGGAGAAGCAGCGTCTTCGCCAGGAGCGTCTGCTAACGGTCAACGAGGAAGCTCTGGACGAACTGGACTTGGAGAAGAAGCGAGCCCAGAAAGCCGACGAGGCCAAGCGTCGGGAGGAGAGGTTGGTAGCTCCTATAAAGGATTTAAGGTGTACCTAACATAATTTTAAATGGACTTACAGGGCCCTGAAGGAGGAGAGGGAGCGTCTGTCCGCTGAGGCCGAGAAACAGGCTGCTGCCAAGGCCAAGAAGGCTGCCGAAGAAGCCGCCAAAATCGCTGCCGAAGAGGCTCTTTTGGCCGAACAAGCCGCCCAAAAGTCTGCTGAAGAAGCTGCCCAGAAGGCCGCTGATGAAGCTGCCCAGAAGGCCGCTGATGAAGCTGCCCAGAAAGCTGCCGAGCAGGCCGCTCTTAAAGCTGCTGAGGAAGCTCGCTTAGCCGAGGAGGAAGCCGCTCAAAAGGCTGCCCAGAAGGCCGCGGAGGAAGCTGCCCTCAAAGCCGCTGAAGAGGCTCGTTTGGCCGAGGAAGCTGCCCAGAAGGCGGCTGAAGAAGCGGCCCAGAAAGCCGCCGAAGAAAGCCGCTGAAGAAGCGCTCTTAAAGCCGCTGAAGAGGCTCGTCTAGCTGAAGAAGCCGCCCAAAAGGCCGCCGAAGAAGCCGCCTTGAAGGCTGTGGAAGAAGCCCGTGCCGCCGAGGAAGCTCGCCTGGAGGAGGAGCAGCGTCTGCGTGAACAGGAGCTGGAGCGCCTGGCGGAGATCGAGAAGGAGAGCGAGGGCGAACTGGCCCGCCAGGCCGCCGAGCTGGCCGAGATTGCCCGCCAGGAGTCCGAGATCGCCGCCCAGGAGCTGCAGGCCATCCAGAAGGGCGGCAACGAGGCCAACGAGCCACTGATCGAGGAGCCCATCACGCCAATCGAAGAGCAGGAGCCCGCCATCGAGCTGACCTCCAATGTCACCACCACCACTGGTGGCAACAGCTACGAAGAGGAGGAGGATGAAGAAGAGGAGGAGGACGAGGAGGAGGAATAGATTCTACACGATCATCAAGCTGTCAACCTAATTTAAAAGAAACAATAAAAATAGTATAAAACTATTCCAATGGGGATATGAAATCAAAAAAATAACAAACAAAAAACCAACATTTGGGGTCATCAAAATTCGGCTAGTTATACCTTAATAAATTAAAATTATACCTCCCGAAACTTAGTACAGTAATCTATTTGAAGATATAATTTCCTTGAAGTTCTAAATGATGGGCATACTTAAAGCGGAGTTGGTTAAAAACGTTGCATTTTTTTATTTTTGTAAAGTTGTAAAATCTTGTCCCTAATTTTAGGACAACTTTTTTTGCCCACTTTTCTACTACCAAATCAAAACTTTTCCGCTTTAAGAACAGAACGGCGCTCCTCTAACAAATTAATTTTGTTCACCAGATAATTTGTTTTTGATCTCAACAATAATAATTGAATTTTCTAATATTACATCTAACGTTAATTTGGTAACATTTAAAGGTAGCCACAATAAAAATGTAAAAAAACTGTAAGTTGTAAAATGTAGATTAACAAAAATACCAAATTATAAAAACACTAAAACTAGTATTTTTCTATAACTGTTGCTTGGAGTTTTGCAGCACTACATTTGCGCCACAAAAACAAAAATCCGAAAACGGTGCAAGCAGCTTTGTAAATTTATATTTAATCCTGACAAGCAAAAAGAATGTCGAAGGACGAGAAGGACAAGACGCAGATTATCGACAAGGACTTGGACCTGTCCAACGCCGGACGCGGCGTGTGGTTGGTAAAGGTGCCGAAGTACATTGCACAGAAATGGGAAAAGGCCCCCACGAATATGGACGTGGGCAAGCTGCGGATCAACAAGACGCCCGGCCAGAAGGCCCAGGTCTCGCTGTCCCTCACACCGGCCGTCCTGGCCCTGGACCCCGAGGAGAAAATACCCACGGAGCACGTCCTGGACGTGTCGCAGGTGACAAAGCAAACGCTCGGGGTATTCTCGCACATGGCCCCCTCCGAAGGTAAGGAGGGCTCTACCAATCCGGTTGGGCAGCCGGACAACGAGAAGCTCTACATGGAGGGCCGGATCGTCCAGAAGCTAGAGTGCCGTCCCATCGCCGACACTTGCTACATGAAGCTGAAGCTGGAGTCCATCCGTAAGGCATCGGAGCCCCAGCGGAGGGTACAGCCCATCGACAAGATTGTCCAGAACTTCAAGCCCGTCAAGGATCATGCACACAACGTAAGTACAGCTAAAAACTAATTCCCCTGCTTTCTATTAACTTAATTATTCCGACAGATCGAGTATCGGGAGCGTAAAAAGGCCGAGGGCAAGAAGGCGCGCGATGATAAGAATGCAGTGATGGACATGCTATTCCACGCCTTTGAGAAGCATCAGTACTATAATATCAAAGATCTGGTCAAGATCACCAATCAGCCCATCAGCTATTTGAAGGAGATTCTTAAAGATGTGTGTGATTACAATATGAAGAATCCGCACAAAAACATGTGGGAACTTAAAAAGGAGTATCGCCACTACAAGACTGAGGAGAAAAAGGAGGAGGAGCACAAATCAGGCAGCAGCGACTCAGAATAGCATTAACCACAGTCCCCGACCTACCTTCATTAAAACATTTAAGTGATTGCATGATTTCGTTTTATTCCTTAAGAACTACACTTAGACCTATGAAAAAACAATATTTTTTGCACTGTAAATAGACATTTGCTTGCCCTCTGGTAAATACATACATATATACATTATATTCTAGGCGACACTATGAACAGATAGATATATATATTGGTTGACGTTTTTCTTATGTACATAATTTTTAAAGTCCGAAGAAAACTAAATGGTTATACTTTTGTACAGTACGAGATCAGGTACTTGATACTAGTACTATCTGCTCATATGGATCCAAAACACTTCCTGTTGTTAATTGAAATTGTCTATTTTTTTTTAAATGCAATTAAAATATGTCTGAAAATAAAATGTGTATGAAATTGTAAAGGAAAAGAAAATTCAAGAAAAAATCAAAGTAAAGAAAGCAAAAATTTGTATAAGTAAATTGAGAATCTAAAAATAAAAATGAAAGGATAAAATTCAAAAGCAAATGAAAATGAAATAATAAATCCAAAAAAGTAAATAAAAAACCAAAAGGTGGTATTAACTTATTCATATGTTTAAGGAAGATGAGCTTAGATAATACTGGTTGACTACTCTAAACAATTATTGCGTCATATATAAGCTTAAATCAAAGGATATTTTCTATTGCAACTGTTTTACAACTAATATTAATAATATTTGTACACTTTTAAAGGGAAATGGTTTTGATGTCTGGCAAGGGATAAATCTATCGCAGCCTCTTGATCTTGCTGTACTGCTGGGAAAAGTGCATTGTTCGCTGGGCCTGAAAATTATATAGTATTTAGATAATTCGAATATGGAGCACATAAGTTGGACAAGCTACGACTAAGAAGCGACGAATCTATACATGGCTATAATAGCAATTCAACACATTCAAGACGGATCACAAGACTACTACTACTTAAGCCGGGATGTCGATGCCGATGAAGAGCCCATCGAAGATATCCCCGAATCGTCATCGGCGGGGGACTGACATATCTTTGGGATGGGCTGTATCAAACGCACAGTTTTTGCAAACACCTCGGGAGAAGCCATTTCCGTAGACTTTCGTTTGGTCTTTACCGGCGCCGGTTTGTTGGTCACGCCATCTTTCTTTTGTTCTGTAGTCTTCCCCGCCGGTTTGCTTTTGGATGCGTTTATGTTGCCCACATCATCCTCGGGATGGATTTCCATCCGCTCAGTACTCTTTAACTGCATACAAAACTGTGACATATCGATGGGCTTACTTTTATCGCGGTTTCCAAAGCTCAAAGACACGTTACCGTGGTTAGTCTACAAAAAAAAGGGGTTACATAATATTTATAGTTCGCATTTCCATTTCGTACTACTTACCAGTACTAGTGAAGCCAGCATGTAGCGACACATGATACTTGGATCCTTGTTTGTCATTACATCCGCTAAAGTGGCTGTTCCATTACTCGCCTTGCAAACGTCCAATATCTCAGTGCCAAGGTCTTTGATGTTGAAGTTCTGCCGTTCATGGGCTGCCTCCAAGGCAGGAGCCAATCGCCTATGCCAGTCTCGGATCTATAACATTTAATTTAATACATGCGATTATTATTTTATGCACTATAATTACCGTAGAGCTGGAATCGGGGTTATCGGAGTAATCAAATCCTATTGGAGAGTCGCCTCTCGTAGACTCATCGAAGTGCTCGACATCTAAATCATGTGCCTCATTGTCCAAAGCGGTTGTATTAGCATGCAAATCCTTTGCAGGTGCTTCGTCAATTAGTATAGCTTTGTCTAGCAACGTAGTGACTTCTAACATTGAATGGTCAAATTGTGTAACATCTAAAACACGACAGTCCGTTGCGCTTTGGTCAGTGGTGGGTTCCAATTCAGAGCTTATTGTCGTTACCAATCCGCTTCCCATATCTGCGTTTGTTGTAGCCTCCAATCCACTTTCCGCTCCGGAGTTTTCAGTTACTTCGAGCTTCGTGGTATCTCCACTTTCATTCATTGTTGTGGGTTCAGTGGTCGTGTTTAATTCGGAAACAATTGAATCTCCCAATCCACTTTCCATTCTGGGGTTCGCAGTCACTTCCAAAATATCTTCTGTGGTTTCATTTAGTGCTTTATTCGCTAGGTTTTCAGTAGGATCTTCAACCTCAATTTTAACTTCTCCTATGGTTGAAACAGGCCCTGATTCGGCTCGCATCTCGTCAAAATCAAAACCAGAATCAAGTGTGGGCCGACGTCGACGAAAGCCCAAGAAATCTAAAAATGATGATAAAAGGGTTAATAACATAAATTAAGAAGTATCGCAAAATAACTTACTAAAATCCATGTCAAATTCTAGGCTAACGGGGGAGCCGGGTATTTTGTCCACTGTTTGGGGAGCCTTTTTTGTCAGTCCGTAAAATCGCAGGTTTGGCAGCAGTTGGCGGCTTTGCTGCCGTCTCTCGCTTGTTAGGCAGACGCTGGAATGGAGGATTTTAACAATTTTAACAAACCGAAATTAAATCAATACAGAATCATACACCTCTGATCTCTTTTCGATTAACTTTGTTTAAAAATGTTTTTTGCATTCACAACTAATATTTGACTAAAAATATGAATTATGAGTTTTGGCACTCACCGCTTGCTTAAACAATTCGAACTCTGACGACAGTTTAAAAATACATTTACGGCGCAGGTTTTTTTGCGGAAGACCCAAAATATTCAGCGTAATAGGATAGCAGACTTCCCTTAAGACATCGACCTCAACCTCGGCGTTCATCTGAATGACTTTATCTGTTTGCTCTTTTGGTTGGTTTAACATTTCCATATTTTCACCGTGCAGACCCAATACCTTAGACAGTTGGCGCTGATCTTCTAGATCTGAAAGAACAACACCCTCATCGTCAAATGACTGGTCTGCCGTGGCAATTGCAATGCAGGGATGCAAGTGCGGGATCAGGTACCAAAATAAAAAAACAAAAAGAAACCAAAATGTGAGTACTCCAAAACTACAACAAAACGATTAAAAAAACACTTATCCTTAGTACGCTTGGCAGGCGTTGGTTTGCCATTGGTTTACCTGTATGCAGCTGGCAATCAGAGACGTCGTCCATACCGATTCCGAAATCGAATTGCGACATATCCTGGAGGGAGTCATCTTTAGCAGGGGGCAAGTCGAGTCTCGTGCTATCCAGGACACTGGATTCGTTGATGGCTAATGTACTGCTTAGCGGTGGATTCTCTACTTGGCTAACGCTTAAGGAGTTATCCACCTGGCTTAAGGACGAAACCTCCACTTGACTTTCGCTTAAGCCGGAGTCCTCTACTCGGCTCGCGTCTAATGTTGAATTCTCCACCTGACTGACGTCTAGTGTGGTATTTATGGTGCTGTCTTGCTGGCTGGTATTGATTGATTCACCCAGGCCAGAATCCACTGATATTTGATTTTTTAAAGCCTCGCCTGAGACCAGGGATTGTTCATTTGCCGCCATCGCCACTTGATCCACGTCTATAGAATCGAGGGGTCCAGCTTCATCCGTAACCATAGGCTGATTTTCGTCCAGTCGCACTTTTTTGGCAAGCTCAGAATCTTCCGTCTCCTCTAGCGTTCTTTTCGCAGTTTCATCCATCCTCCTTCTCGTCCTGACGGTGGCTCCATAGCGTGCGGCCAACATTTGATTTTCCAGCGCAATGTACTCGTCCAGGTAATCCTTGGTCGTCATGTGCTCGTTGAGTATCTCCCCGGTGTTCACCTGGTTCGTGTGTACATATTCCTTGATTAGACTCAGCCGCTCGAATGGAATATCTGGCAGCAGGGTGTTATATCTATGTTCGACATGATACGTAAACATCTTATACTGCTTCTTTTCATCCTGGTCATAGGGATTGTGGGGATCCACAATAGGGGCGTGTCTCCATAGGTTGGGCGGTGTGTGATCCTGATAAAGATACTCTATCGTCCGATTCCTCGTGCACTTCACAAAGCCTGTCAGGTTAAATCGTTTTTCGTCCGACATGGTCTTAAATTTTCGCGGTTCAACTGTGAGCAAATACGGATCTACTTCCTTCTTAGTGAGCTTCTTGGCGCGACGTTTACGCGGCTCCTCCGGTTTGGGGATGTTGTTTTGCGGTCTGTAGAATTGGTGAGGATACAAATTAGAATATTGATAAATGAAGATTAAAAGTTGCGGACAACTTATTAGTAACGAATGAAAAAACTGAAACAGGGACTTTAGGTCAATTATTCAACTAATTTGATTAAATTCTTATTAATTAATTAGACAGATAGTGTCATAGTGCTGAAAATAAATTGTTCATTTCAACATAACTTATTATTAAAAAAGAGATAGTTATTTAAATTAAATTAAAATAAATTTTTACTGATAAGATTCCAATTACTTACGCTACTTACTTACTATACAGTTAACTTACTTCTAATTTTGTTAACTATGTTATTTAGATGGCCTGATAATGAAGGAATTATGTGTTTGAAGTTTGCCTAAAAAAGTTGATTAAATAACATTTAATCATATAAATTACATTTTGTAATCACATACATTCATTTTTTATAAAGTGTTTTTTTAACGTTCTTATCGTTCAGGTTGCCTTAAATTTTATGAATGATCTAATGTGTCTACCTCTTTTTTCCTGCGTTTGGCTGGGCTATTACTCATATCTTTAGTTACTCCGTTTTGTTATGTATTTTGGAGAACACAAAAACGTGTTCCGTCATTCATTAACATGTGATTAAACAGGAAGTGAAGCCGGCTTTACTGATATTAACGTAAACAAAGCCGAAGATGGGGGCGTAAAAGAAAGCTCGATAAGCGGTATTCGGCCCTGATAAGACTGAACACCAGACGCAATGGAGACAATCACCGACCACATGTTTTTATCTTCTACTATCTCCTTCGATTCTTCTCTTCTGACTTTAACTCACCCATCACTTCCGCTGGGCGTCTCCTTCTGCGGCTCCGATGTAAGCAATGCTTCGATCTGGTGCTCCACCACCTGGTACATGTACTCCACGCGGTCTCCATAGATCTTTCCGCAGTATTGAAGGGCACTTCCTGCGGCCACGATGGCTGATCGTCGAGAGACATCCTCGTTGCTTAAACAGTGGCGCAGCAACTCCTTTATATACTGTAAGAATAAAATAGTTTATTAAAGGTTCTTAAGAAAATAGTTTAAATTCGCAATTGCAACTGCTTTTGAACTTCTTCCAAAAAATATTTTGAATTTCGAGATTTAGTAGACGTTTTTCAATATTAATTGATTCGCTTTTCTCATTTACAATTTGACCTGCATAGGACTTTTTTTAATGTTGGTGATCTTCTTGAAAGTTTAAAGTTAACTTAAATCGATTTTAGTTTTCATATGATCACCAATTTTGCATTAAAGATACTTCAGAAACTGGTTTCACTAAGCTTCTTTAAGTGGAGTCTACAACTTTAGAGCTGACAACTACCGTCATCAGAATCGAACAGTTGGTGGCCCCTTACTTAAAAGTAAAAGAATGATTTTATTATTGTTTAAAGTGACTCACATATCTCAGTGATATCCTAAGGTCCGTAGAGTAGTCGGTATTCTTCGAGAGCTCTTCGAGCAAGACTATGAGCGAGGCGAGGTCCTGGTGCTCATCATATGCAAGGATGCACTTTGCCACTTGGGTCCCCGTGCGATTCCTGGCGATGTCTAATATCTCTTGACGTGCTTCACTGTGGGAGGCTGTAATAAGCGAATATGATCCAAACTTTGTTAAAAAACATCACACCCAATCGCAGATCTGCTTCATTGTTTATTTCTGCCCGCCTCACACACTCGCACACAAACACACGCGCGGTACACCTAAAATAGCGCTGACTTAATCAAACGAAGATCGCCTGGGGCTTCGATGTCGTTACTTATCCCAGGTGCTTACCCTCTTCTTCTGCTGAAGCCCGCTCCATGGTTTACTAATCCGAACTGCGAAAAGTCTGTCTTAAGTTCGGTTTTGCATTTTTTACAGGCATTCTGGGGACGGCTTTACACCAACGCACGCACACAAACAAAAAACACGCGGGTGAGGAAAAACAAAATGGTGGAGGCACGCGACCAATTCTTCGATGGTTTCTGGGACTTATCCCCAAATTAGTCCCGTTTTCATGTTTTGTTTTTTATTATAACGCGGGGAATTGGCGCGAATCGTTACAGGAACAATTTCCTATTCACCCTCGAGATATATGTATTTCTTATTTTGTTTTGCTCTCCGAACGAGTAGCGAATGAGAGAAGAGGCGGACGGAAAATGTAAAGAGGCAATTCTGTTAGCCAACCTGCACACGCGCATGGTCACCCTAACTGTATCGATAGTAGTGTTCGATTGCTTAGTATTTTAAGCATGATTAATTAATTACTAAATACCATATAGCAATAATTTTTTTTATAAATTAAGCTTTTACATAATCTTTAGAAGAATAAAAACATACTAAAAGTTAAATACATTAAGGTATGTTAGTTTTGTTTATTTTAATTTAAAATATTTGGAATTGTTATAATTATTTTTTATTTGATAGACAATCTAATTTAATTCATTTTTAACGTGAAAGATCAAAGTAAAGCGATTCAAAATCGGCAAAATTTTTATTTTCTACCTTTTTTAAATCAAAATTTTAAGTTCAATTAAAATACTATCTGAACCATTATTTTTTCCTCGACGCTGGTATTTTTTAGTCCCAGAATTTCTTTCGATAGTGCCATCTCTATCGTGAGTGATTGCTCAGCCTTAAAAGTGTCATCACCTTAACAAAACAAATTCCAAGGTGCAATTGTTTATATCGAAATGTCCAACCAGGAGACCCAGGTTTCCAGCCTCCCGATGCCGCCGGAGCGGTACATCGCCAACTACACGGAGGAAAACATAAGGCGCAACCGAGCGCCCCGCCCACCGCCGCCGCCCTCGCAGCACGAAGTTTACAGCATGTTCGGTATCCAGTACAACAACGACGAAATGATCCGGAGTCTCGAGTCCCAGAACATCAAACGCCTGATCCCTATTCACTTCGACCGGCGCAAGGAGCTCAAGAAGCTCAACCATTCCCTGCTGGTCAACTTCCTGGACCTTATCGACTTCCTCATCCTAAATCCTGACAGTCCGCGACGCACAGAGAAGGTATGGATTTATCGTAATCTATCAGATTATAGATTATATTCCATTATCGACCTGTAAATAAGTATCTGTAATACAATTTATTAAACTTCGAAATATTCTTTTAGATTGACGATCTGAGTCTGCTATTCGTTAATATGCATCACCTGCTGAACGAGTTCCGACCCCATCAGGCGAGGGAAACACTACGCGTCATGATGGAAATGCAAAAGCGGCAGCGCGTGGAGACCGCCACCCGTTTCCAAAAGCACTTAGAGCGAGTGCGGGAAATCGTGAACACCGCCTTCTCAGCGCTTCCGGTTTTGGGTGATGATGACGAGAGTGGCGGGGCAAAGATTAAAACGGAGGTAGATCCCTTGGAGGCAAACGCTGCGGCCAAAAATGATCCCAGCTATCAGCACGATCGTATGTTGTGTAAGCTCGTGGACGCCATCGAATGAGCTGACAAAAGACTGGACATCATTGCGAACGGCTTAAAAAAAGAGCTCCTCATATTTATAACTGCTTTTAGTGTAAGAAATAAAACCCCAATTGTGTGATGAGAATCTTCCATGCTTAATGAGTAATTCATTCACTTGGCCAAAATTTGTTTAGTCATGATGGAGATAATTTAAACACAGATAAGATCACCCCTCTGTCGTGTGGCCCGAGATAAAAGCGAGACGTTTAAGCATCCACAAATTTCACCATTGGAATGACGTAGTCAACCTGGAGTGATTATGAACACTCAAAAATCATAAAACGGATCAAATTTGAATGGCAAATCTATGGTTTTTAGTCTGAAACAACGAATTCTAATTTTCGGAAATGGGGTTCGTAATTTAATGTTATGCTTTTTATCGGACAGAAACGTGAAAGCCACACACGTTTCCTTTTTTTTAATGGTTGCTACCTCATGGCATTATCGTGGCTATCCCAAATATGCTCCTACAGTGCGTATCATGATGTCATTTATAGGATTTTTATTGATAATGTTATAAACATTATAATGTATATTATGGTTGTTTGTTTAAATTAATAAATGTAACAAAATTTTTTCTTTTTTTATGAAATTACAAATGTATAGCTATCTGAACATTTTGCTTTATTTATTTATCTAATGAATATTATTTAGTTGCATAAATTTGTATTATATCTTAGGTTTTTGAAACTCACTGTGCCTTCCTCAAACGCAACGTGTTTTTTTTCTGAATAAACATGGTTTTATAAGTTTATTAGCTTCTTTAGATTGTAAAGCCTGCGATAAGTGAATCTTCAGCTTTATTAAGACGAACTCTGATAAAAGCAGGTGCCATTCACTCTAGAATATCATTTCTCGTGCAGCATTGCAACTGTGAGCAATAGGCGGATGAATTCAAATATATGGTGAAGAGCCTTAAATAAGTGACTGTGAACTGAATTTTTCAACGAATTTGTGCTTGCGCTTTTTAATCAATAACTGTAGCGCATTAATTGAGCAATCAATTTGGAGAGCAAGGCAATTGTAAAAAGATATAGTGACATCAGTATTTGCCGAGATGTCGGAAAAGAATATTGAAAAAGTGGATTCTGAGAAAAGCAAAGGTAAAGGACACAGAAAAACAATTTTAAAACAGAGATAAGTGCATTGCGAAGCAAATTACTTCTAAGTGTATATTATGTGATGTAATAAGGTGCACTAATGTGATCAAAATTGTGTAGTGTGTTTGGTTGTTTATGGGGATTTAAAAATTTGGTTCCTTTTCCCCTCCGAAATTTGGTTTGAGTTGTATAGTGTGGATGTGGAAAATTTTTTTTAAGTTGTTTTAAATTTGTAAATGCGCTATCAAAAAACTTTTAAAGGCTTTGAAAAAGATTAGAAGATTGTCGGCTATAAAACAGTTTAAACAACGATTCATCTTATCACTTACAGAGCTAGAAAATGACAACGATGCGGATGGGAATTCAGATAGTACGGCGGAGGCGGCTGCCACGCCTGCCGAAGAAGGTCCTGCCACGTTTGACAAGGCGATCGAGGGAGCTGGGTTTGGGCTCTTCAACCTAATGCTGCTTATCGTCTCCATTCCTGCCCAAAGTGCCGCCATCTTCGAGTCCAGCTCCATGTCCTACATCCTGCCAGTGGCCGAGTGCGATCTTCGGCTGACTCTGGAGGACAAGGGAGTGCTAAACGCGATGGCCTATGCGGGCATGATCTTTTCGGCCATAGCTTGGGGTTATCTGGCAGATACGAAGGGGCGCAAGAAGATCCTGTACTGGGGCTATCTGCTTGATGCAGTATGCGTTTTTGGCAGTGCCTTGAGTCAGAATTTCATTATGCTGGTGATTTTCAAGTTCTTGGGTGGTTTGGTGTAAGTATATATATTAAATTTATTATATTTAACTTTTGTATTTATATTAAACATATACTTTTAAAGGGTTAATGGTCCAGCTGCCGTGCTGTTTACCTATTTGACAGAAATGCACGGACCAAAGCACCGGTCTTCAGTACTAATGATTGTAGGAATGGTGACGTCGACGGCCACGGTTACACTGCCTCTTCTGGCTTGGGGCATTTTCCCAAGAGATTGGGAGTTCCAGATCTGGGGCTTAGTTAGTAAGTTTTCATACAAATTATTAACTTTACTTAACTTATTTCTGATTATAATTATCGAATTTGATTAGTCTCTAATGAAATGTAATTTAGTCCACAGTTGGCAAATTTTCCTGTTTGTTCTGGGCATCCCAAGTTTGGTCAGTGGTCTGATTTTCTGTGGAATGCCGGAGAGTCCGCGCTTTTTGATGTCGCAAGGACGAAATGAGGAAGCGCTGCAGGCCTTTAGGAATATGTACCATGTGAACACCCGCAAGTCGAAGGATACCTATCCGGTAATTAAAAAATGCCTGATAAAATTAAATAAGAAGTTTTATTTTTAGAAAATTTCACAATTTATCTATCCCAATAGATGGTAAATGCTGTTAAATTAATGATAAAATAATTTTTTTTCCAGGTTAAAGCCCTTATTCAGGAGGCGCCCGACCGCAAAGCTGAACGGGACGAGGCTATATATACCATCGAGGAGAAGTCTGGAGAAGATTCCACAAAGCGACAGTCCCGCACCCTGGCGGAGAGCCTCCGATCCGGTCTGCAGCAGATGAAGCCGCTGGCCAGGAAGCCCCTGCTGGGATTGGCCCTCTGCTGCTACGTGATGCAGTTCGGCATCTTCCTGGGCATGAACACCATCCGCCTGTGGCTGCCGCAGCTGTTCGCCTCCATGGCGGAGTACGAAGCCCTGCACGTCGAGGATGGAGAGGCCGCCAGCATGTGCACCATCCTGGAGTTCAGCGTCAACCAAACGGCGAAGACCGCCTTGAATTACGCCGACGCCTGTTTAGTGGTAGGTATCAGATAGTACTTGAAGATAAGAGATCTAGTTCCTAGATCGGCAGCTAGTATCACCCCTGAATCTCAAGATTAGGCTTATCTGACAGCTCACATAACGTCTATTCATCGTGATCGTGACGTGGTTATTTAAGCACACAAAATAAAAGATTACCGTAAGCGGTCATCATTTAGAAGTTGAATCCTTACAGAGAGTTTTATAATCTTATCTGTATAATGTAATGTTTCTTTTTGTTGAAGAAATTAGATATCTACTAGATAGTCACGATGATGTTTTTCTTAAAATCACTATTTATAATTCAAAAGCAATTGGAAATATATCATTTATTTTACCATTAAGTCAAAAATATTTATGGCTTAGCATTTACAAGGAGTAATTAAGAATGGCTTTTATTTTGTTTTAGCCCAAGGAGATCTCAATGGACATGTACCTGAATAACATTATCGTCTCGGCAACTGGCTTTGTGGGATACTTTTTTGCTGGTGGAATTATCCGTACCCTGGGTCCTAAGCGAATGATGAGTAAGTTTCTCTTGTGCTTTTTTCTAGTTTCTATAAATAATCCGAATGCATTTTTCCAGCTTATGGACTGTTTTTGTCGGGGACCTTTGGTTTGATACTCTACTTTTCTGTAAGCAGTCTAATGACACTCATTGTATCTGCAACCTTCCTCACAATTACCGGAATTGCTGTTTCCTCACTTCTGGGAGCTGTGGTTATGCTCTTTCCCACCCAATTAAGGTATGATGTCAAGTCCCCCGATTGAAAATGAATTTATTTAAAGTATTTTATTGGTAGAACTGTTGTGGTTTCCATCGCCATGATGTGCGGACGCTTGGGCGCCCTGTCCGGAAACTTACTCTTCCCCGTATTCGTTCAGATAGGTTGTTTGCCTCCATTTATTATGGTCTCTTCAGTGCTGATATGTAAGTTAACTACTTAATATTTATTAAAGATCACTTTACTTAAAATTTATTTCGCAGTATCGGGCATCCTGTCAATATTCTTGCCCAATCCCGCAAAGGCGTCATTTTCCTAAAGAGTTTCTCCGGAAAAGTCTTTGGAATGAATTTGAAAACTGATCGCCCACTAGTTTAAACCAGATCTTGCGACATTAGAGTAGCTTTTGTTTAGTTGTACAAATTAGAGATAACCAATTAGATGGATTGGAGGAGATAGACGTTCAACAACTATTTATATTTACCTTAAGTAATCAAACCAAATATATCTTTATTGTTGTACAAATTACATTGTTTAGAAAACTTGTTTCCATTTGTTGCTCCATTGCTTCCATTTGTTAATGCAAAGATGGCGAACGGCAATTTCCAGCATCCCTCAAAGGTTTTGTCTGGTGAGCGAGAACAAAAAGTCGTCGGAAGCTGCGACATGCAAATCTCATTAGCACCAATTAACTGTAACCGGCAGAACTCAGGTGGGTGGGTGGTTGTTTGAATTGGCAGGTGAGCTATCGACTACAGATAACATCAACCAGATTTTCATTAGCTGCAGACGGGTAAAGTGGAAATTAGTGCTGTCTGAACTAACTTATCAGGTAGCTTACAAATGGAAGCGATTTATAAGATTGAGCGCTTCAGTGATTCGTGAACAACATGAACTTTCAGCAAAGGTACAATCCATTTTAATCACCTCAGAGCACCTTGATAATCTCAAATTGACGTTAAAATGCCAGAAATTACTAATTAGGATGGCAGAGCTACATGCATGTTCTGCACATCTGTTCACTGGAAATAAGAAAGTTTTATATTATGAATGTAACACATATTAAACTAAACGAATTTGTTGGAATAAATATTAAAATGTTGTTGCCTATTTATTTTAAAATTATCTTTATTAATTTTCTAGTGCACTTGTATACTTTGCTTAGTTTAATTAAATGGTCACAATAAGGTTTTAAGTCATTTTAGAACAATATGGTTCATAATTGCACATTTTAGCTTTATTATTTCGTTTTATTTTTTTTTAAATTTTTTTGTCCATTTACGAAAAAATATTTGAAAATGTTTAATTAAACTATTAATTTTGTATAGTTTTAGTTTCCACCCAATAATATTAAGGATTATTAATTTATCGGTTATACGTTTAAATGGTTATAAAACCAAAAGATAAACATGGGAATAATTTAATATTTAATTGCGGGTTTATAAAAAGACTTGCAAACATAAGGTGTCAAAATAATACTTCGTAAACATCCAGGAGTCTTTCAAGTAATTTTCAAAATTTTCATTGTTTTCCGCGACATTTCTGATAAAATATCCTTATTTTGATGACGGAGGAGGCCGCCGACTTCGAGACGGCGATCGCGGAGTGTGGCTTCGGGCTGTTCAACGTGTTCATCCTGTGCAGTGCGGCGCCCTGCCTCACGGCGATGGTATTCTCCGCCTCGGCGCTGTCCTATGTGATGCCCTCGGCCGAATGTGACCTCGATCTGAGCATCGTGGACAAGGGGATGCTGCACGCGGTGACCTACGCGGGAATGATCATCTCGGCGGTGCCCTGGGGATTTATAGCGGATACCATTGGGCGCAGGCCCGTGCTCATTTCCGGTGGCTGGCTCGACGGCATCTTCGTCCTGTGCGCCTCCTTCAGCCAGAACACAGCCCAGTTGATGGCCTTCAAGTTCTTTGACGGCTTTATGTAAGTAGACTTAAAAAGGTTCAAAAGCCTCCTTACAAAATGGGAACTAGGGTTTCTTTTATACATAAGACAACTTTTTTATTAAAAGTTTTTAACTATATTTCCTTCACCTTTTAATTAACTGTTCCCAAAAAGTTTTATAAGTTTTCTAAGAAATACAAACTATTTTCCAATAATTAAAAACCCAAACCAATAACTAGTGTTTTTTTCCGTGCATAATCGATAACCAATCTAATGAGCTTCTCCGTTAGCATCTGTGGTCCATTTGCGGTGGTGGTAAGTTACCTGGCCGAGTTCCATGGCAAGAAGCATCGGCCGTATATCATGTTGTTCGTGGGTCTGTGCGTTTCCGCCGGATCGATGATTATACCCTTGCTGGCCTACGTTTTGCTGCCGGTGCCCATATTCTTCAAGGTGGCCACTCTGGAGTGTAGGTGAGTCACACATGGTGGGGCCTCATTTCTGAACTCCCTCTTGCAGTTCGCACCTGGCAAATCTTCCTTGCAGTCAGCTCGGTGCCCAGTCTGCTCACCGGCTTACTGCACATTTTCCTGCCCGAGAGCCCCAAGTTTCTCATGGCTCAGGGGAATTACAAAAAGGCCTTGGAGTCCCTGCAGCGCATCTACCAGCTGAACAAGCGCAAGAGTAAGGATAGCTATCCGGTAGGAGTCCTTGATAAATCATAGAAAATACCCCGGTAGCTGTAGTAATTTCTTTATTATTTTACATTTTTGAAGGTGAAACGTCTGATCGATCCAACGCCCGAGCGTTCCGCCGATCTTGATGGAACTGGCCGGTCACTTACGCTCAAGGAAAGATTCGAGCGTGCCAAGAATAAGTTCCTCGGGGGCGTCAGTCAGCTAAAGCCCATGTTTTCCAGACCTTATTTGGCGATCTCTTTGCTGGTCTACTGCCTGCACTTCTGCCAGATTATGTGGTGAGTTAGGATAAGCTTATAATTATGATAATATTATTGACTACTTCAGTTCTCAATAGTTTGAAATTAAAGCTAACTCATTTATTTGTATGTTTTTAGTGTCAACTCGGTGCGTCTGTGGCTGCCCCAGATCTTTGCCACGATGAACGCAATGGAGTCTATGGGAGCAAACGACACGAGCATGTGTGCCGTTTTGGATCACAATGCGATGGCGAGGTTCATGGACGAGGATTCCAAGAGGGTGGAGTGCGCACTAGTAGGTAGGAGATCTGTTGTTCCGGGTTTCGGGGTCTAAAGTAATAATCTCAAACAAACAGAACCACGACCCAGACAGCTACTTGGATAACATTATCGTGTCGGGAATTGGCCTGGTCGGCTTCATCATCATCTTTCCCCTATTGCGAATCCGAGTGGTTGCGGATCACATACTGAGTGAGTACTGTAGTCCCACATTTTAACTTAGGGATGCAAGACTAATGAGTAATATAAGTGTATTGGTATTTAAAAATAAAATATAGCTATAAAAATACATATTTCAATCTAGTTCCACTTAGTTAATGGCTAAGAATTTATCGGTATATAAATTGAATAATTGCATAATTTACGACCATTATTTAAATGTGTTTTTAACACAAAAAAAAGGACAATTTTTAAATATTTAAATATTTGCTTAATATGGTGATAAAATATGGTTGTTAACGTTGCCCATAAATCTTTAAAGATATTAAAACTCAAAAGCTTTCGTCCCCATTTGAAATATTAATTTATGTGAGATTCTGGCAGAGGTGTTCCTATTCATCTGCATTTTCCTGGTGGGCAGCCTGTACTTTGTGAAGACTTCGCTGGTGACTATGATTGTGTCCGCCATTTATCTGACCCTCATGGGGATTTGTGCCACCACAATTATTGGGATGTCTGTGGTGATATTCCCCACCTTAATGAGGTAAGATCTGCCCCGAAGCAACGCCTAATTTATATTTATGTGCTTCTATCCCCTAGGACAATGGTTCTGCTGCTGATTATGACTTTTGGAAGACTCGGCTCTGTGTGTGGCAACCTGGTGCTGCCGATTTTTATGCAACTCAACTGTCTAGCTCCGTTTCTATGGTTGTGTTCCCTGATGACCTGTGAGTAGTAATTCTACTATTAAGTGACTGGGTACTGGTCCTCATCTCACTAACATTTCACAGTTGCTTTTCTGTTTTCGCTGTTCCTGAAGGTCGACGATCAGCAATCGCTGAGCTGATTCCTCAGAAGTTTATCCAGGTTGTTTTTAATCGTATCGCCATCGATGGCTTCTGTCCGAATTAATATTAATCAATGCTAACGACTTTGCGGTTAATTCAAGATAATTACACTTTAATCACAAGCACACACAAAGCCAGTCGGCTCTGATTAATTTCTTTATGCTTTTTGATTGGAAAAAAATATATCTGCCGGTAATTATGTTTTTGCGGTTACCAATTAATTTGCACATGCGAAACTGACTCGCAATTCGCGCTTCGCTGGCTGTCAAAGCGATTTTTCCGAGCAGAAGTCTGGACAAAAGTTTTCCCGAGATATATTTTCTAACCACACCGCAACCATAAATCAGCACTAAAGTTTGTTGCTCTCCATTGGCGACAGAGTCAATGGAATTCTCCCTGTGATGCACACACGGCGTATGCTTTATATTTAAGGAGAACTGGCAACGAGAGTATCCCATTTCTGGACACTTTCCGTGAGGACCGGGGAAACTAACCTATTTCTCAGGCTGTCAAAACAAAGTCAAGCGGTAATTGACACACGTTGACTTGGGGTGTTTCCCTCGTCGGTTGTTAGTGGTTTTTCTTTCACTTGGGATATATGTATGCATATTGAGTCTTGTCTGTAGTTTGGGCTGCACTTATTCCGGTTCAATTTATTGGCGCAGCTTAACCACCCAAAAAGGACTTTATTGGGGCAATCTGATGCTGTGAGTCATCTCTATTTTTTTGCTCACCACTAGTAGGGTACGGCGTATTAAGTAACTATTTACTTCATGGTATACATCTAAAGCATTTAGTTTATTTTAATGGGCTATATATGTTCTTTGTTCATCTAAAAAAATATTGTTATTGTGATGGTTTTTAATGACAAGAATGCCCGCTTAAGTATGCTACGAAATATGAACCTAATCAATAATCAATTTGCAACCTACTATCGTATCTAAATTTCGGAATACTCGGCTGTCCCAGCATTTAAAAGTTGTTATCCACTCTCTATCTTTCTAGAAAGAAATTTGACTAAAAGCCTTTAATGCATAAATGTATTTGCTAAAAATTTCAGCATATTGTTTCGTTTTTTTTTAGAGAAATCCTCCCTTGCTCCTGCCACCTCTATAAAAACTCTGAAACAACAAATGCGCATAAATTTATCATAATAAACATGCATAAATCGCCGTGAATACAAACAGGGTATCCGCCAAAAATGTGCAGAAATATGCTTAGGGCGGCGTAATGGGTGGATGTGTTGGAGGCGGGGCTAAAAGTAGGCTATAAACTAAACGAAACAAGATCGTAAAAAAAGCTAAACATGGAAATGCATATGCGGGTAAGTGTGTGCGTGCCCAGGGCAGAAATGAGGTACATAGTTCCATGTTTGTGGAAGTATGGGTGTCCGAAAGGAGGCGGGGGGCAGGATCCGCCTGAATGGGCAGTCATAATCACATGGAGCCGAAAGAAGCAGATAGAGCGGCAGACATAAACATTTCCAGACATTAGCAAACACAAAATACAGCAGGCAAACACACACAATCACAATCACAATAGGTCATTTGAACAGTCCTTGAAGTGGCCTTTGTTGGCAAGTGTGTGGGTGTTTTCGAGAATGTGTGTGTGGGCGGGGTGTAAACCGTGTCCTCTGCCATCATTTACAGGTCATTCATCATGGCACCACAACGCTCTACGTTTATTTTGAGCAAAGCTGAAGTGAACACACCAAAGTAGTACAGCCGATGAACTCAACAAGAAGAAGTACAATAAAGTTAGCAGAACTAAAATAGCAATGTGTAAAACTTTCTGTGATTTATAAATAGCAAACTCAAGAAATTGCAGCAGCTCAAAATGTAAATTTTCAGTTAAGCCTTTTGAAAAGTTTAATTTTAAACGCCACAAATATTATTTCAAGTACGATATTGAAGTAGGCTAGACATGCACATATTTCAAAACAAATTGAACAAATTTTTCTTTAAAAATATTTTTTATAAATTCATTTTAATATAGCCAATATCTTAGAAAGAGTTTTCAGCCACATATTTAAATTAGTGAAAATGAGCTGCGTTAAAGACAGAATACTCAGAGTTATTAAAATCACAAGTAGATTGGTATTACAAAATATTTAATTAAAATTTGGATTTTAAATTTATTTACAAAATGTCGATTAAAAGCTTTAATAGACATATTCCTGATATATTTACATATTTACATTATCTTTTTAAAATTGATTATAGATTTTTTCTGTTTTATTGTTAAAAGCTCACGTACACCTAACCTTGAGCTTAAGTACGCCTGAAATCAGGATCTATATCCTAAGATCAGTACTTAATATAAAAATACGTAATAAGGGATACTAATTTTTTATTATTTGTAATCCTAAAATCTGGTTCGGGATCTGAATTCAGAATAGGAATCGTGAAATTAGGTTAAGATAAAAAACACCTCAGCATATCAAATTTTAGAGCAATAGTAAGAACACCAAAAATAATAAAAATAAAGAAATTTATTTGTAAATTATTACAGTTTTTTTTTTTAAATAATTTTTAATATAACACATTTTTGTTTAGTTAAACGAAAATAATGCATTCTTATGGTACGAAAGAGTTGCCATAATTACGTTTCCCGCAACATGTTGCCAGCGTAGTCGTGTTGCTGGCTTTCTCTCAACAGGTTGTGCGACTGTTGCCAACTTTTCGGCGAGTGTCCTATGCGTGTTGACTTGCTCGTGGCAGCGACGTCGGCAGAAGGACCTGCAGATTTAGTATTTCCATTCCATCCGCAACCACTTTCATGTGAAGCGCTCAGTCGGCGGCGGCACTTGCAGCGCTAAAGAACGCGCTCAGCGACGCTAGCGGTAAATTCGGGCGTCATTTTGAACCGAGTGTACTGCCAACTAACGGTGACTTCGTTGTGTGTGCGTGCGCTCGTCGCCTCTGTGTGGGTGTTGTGTTTGCTTTAGCCTGCCAAAAGCACAATAACCAATAGTCGCTGAAAAAATAGCCACAAAGTGTGCACAAAATCCCTAATGTAAGCAAAAGTGGAATGCAAAATATGTGCGGAAATGTGATTTCAAAAATGTAATTTAAATACTTGTTAAAGTCATTTAAAGTTGCGGAATTTTTAATATCAATGTAATGCTGTTAAAATGGAAAAAAATGGTTTCTAAATAAAGCTTCTATTAATAGTGACAAGCTAATACGGTTTATCAATCTGTAATCATGAGGCTAAAATGCCAATTACAGCAATTAATGTACTTTTTAATATTTATAGTACAACAAAGTAATTCAAGTAATTTTAATAATTTAAATGGGGCACCCAGAAATGTTAAGACTTTTTAAATCAGTTAAAATTATGTGAGTAATGTAGTAGTCGTTTTCGCCATTAACTATTAGATATCGGATTAAAAATATACATTTTTATAAGTAATTTCAAAAACTAGTTATTTATGTTGAATCTCTTATAGACTTTGTAAAAAAATAATTTTAAAACAAAAAAATAAAAATATATATTCTTTTAAACAAAATATAAATGTAAAATCCAATAATTTATCATTATTAGCGTATGTGGGCAAATGGCGCCAACTGGTCTTAAGTGCAGCTTGTCCATTGCCACGCCTTCAAATTAAGAGTGTAATGTGGTTGGCAGTTGACACAAAACAGAGAGAAATATTCCTCGAAAGACTCCCACAAAAAGAGGATCTAGCGAAAAGAGGGAAGCTGATGAAGTGAAAGCTTGGCTATTACGAAGTAAAAAGGAGTCTCGGGCTCAGAATAATCTGTCAACCTGAATGGTTTCTATGGCGCCGCGTCATTAAATGGTGCAGAAGTGCAGCGGGATCATTACGCAACGTACCGCCTACCCTAATTACAGACTGAAAAATGTCGGAAATTGTGGACACCGAGCTCCTGGTCAACTGCACCATTCTCGCCGTCCGGCGATTCGAGCTGAATAGCATTGTGAACACCACACTGCTGGGCAGCCTCAACAGAACCGAGGTGGTCAGTCTCCTGTCCAGCATTATCGACAACCGGGATAATCTCGATAGCATCAACGAGGCCAAGTGAGTAGTGTACATCGAGCGATGCTTCTTTTTATTTTCCGTTTCAGGCGATACGACTTCTCAGTACGCCCTTTTTTTTATTTTCCCGGAATCCCTCTTCTAGCACCCTCCACAAAGTTATGCAAATCATACAGTAGAGTTGGGTCCAATTCGCGGAACCCGCCAACTACCCACTGATGAGGGCCAAATAATTTAATAAAGTTTGCCGCGCCTGGGAGCTGATAAACGTGTTTGCCGATTCATTAGGTAACTTCACAGGCAAAAAACACTTACAGAAAATGTCATAAAATGTGTGGGGTTTTATAGTGCTTAAAAAATCATAAATATATTCTTTTTTGATATCAGTTAATAGGTTCAACTGAAAGTGTCAATTGAAAAAAGGTTAACCGTTTATTTGAATAACTTTTAAAGTGCTTTTGGTCAAGAGAAAACTTGGTGTTATTTGTGTTTAATTTAAATTACCCTTTTAATATTCATGCACACTTTTAATAACCTTAAATATAATTAGGTATTTAGGCACTATTTTAAATTGCAAACGGGTATTTAGATTAGAGAAATTTTTTTCAAGTGAGGTTAGGAAATGTGGGTTACCTGATTCCTATAAATCTTAAGGCTGAAAAGCGGGTAAATTTGTTTAGGCTTAATCAGATTACTTTTGAAGTAAACATATAGGCTCGGGTCACGCAGACTTCTCAAATGCTTAAAGGGGCGTTTTCACACTATTTTTTTGTACTGGCTTGTGTTGTTATTTAATAATTAAATCCAATGCAATGCGGGACGGCAAAGGTTAAATTAAAAAAAATGCATTATTACATGCTGCGACGTGATTAAATTGACTTATTTGTAAATGTAGTGACACAACAAAATATGACACTTGCTTGTCTAGATTTTTTTAAAATTAATTATACACTTTATTAAATAGTATTAAAAGTAAAAATAGTAAAAAGTATTTAATTATTGTTATTATTTTTAAATAATTATATATGGTTTTAATACCAACTAGGGTGACATTTCAAAGGCTGTCCGGGATGTCAACGTGATGGAAGTTTAATTGAAAATCAACCGCAATCATTTAATAGCTTTTGGCTTAATTGAATCCTTTTGTTACACCAATATTGAACATCAGGTACAAAATATTAATTATGGCAGTACATTTCAATTCATTGCTTAGTTTACCAATCATTAGGTTTGCTTTATTCAGAGAGCTTAATTAGACAAATACCACATGAACTCGAATCGGATAATTAACTGGATAAGTTGGTCCTGGAAAGAATTTGATAAAGCCACATAAAAGCCGTCTTTAATGTGTTTTAATCACGGTGATTACTTTTCGTTTCAAGAACTTAAAGCGTTTGAGCTATAAATAATCGTATTTCCGTTCGGACCGAAGCTAACCGCAAAGTGAAATTAATGAGATGGCTGTAAATACGACTATTGCGTAATAAGTCAAAAGTTTGCAGCATTAAAAAAATTATAAAAGCGGAAAGAAGAGGGCAATCAGTCGGAAAGCCAGACAGTGGATAAAAATGTAGTTGACATTGTCTTAATTTAATCAATCTATCAATTTTGCTCTTTTCTGCGCCTGGTTCATTACACCCTTGAAATGGAATTTTTAAACCTCATTTGATCGGCTTTTGTTTTTGCCGAATGTCCTTCAACTGTTTTGCGACGGAAAATTTCGACAGGAGATAATGTTGTTTACGCTTTTTAGTCTATGGACGAGAACTGCTTCAACTTTAATAGTAACTTTTTTTGCAAAGAGTTTAAAAAAACTAAGCAATACATTTAAATAGCCATGTAAACCGGTTTCAAATTAAGATTCAAGATTTCGATTGGTGAGGTAATAACTAGAGCCCTACTGACTTGATTTCTTAAAACCAATTTACGTTCTTGAAACCCATTTAAACTTATTGGCTTGGGGCTGGGTATTTGGGTAAATGCGTAGTATAGGAAAATAGGAAAAAAAGTAAATTCAAGTAAGCCCCATCAACGAATAAAAAGGTGAAGTTGTATTGGGTTTTAGTTACCTACCTAGCTGTGCGGTTGACATTTAATGAAAATGTAAAATAATTAGACTTTTAGTTAAATGTTATAAATGATATGTGAGTTTGATTGCAGGGTGACCTTAAAACACCTGGTCCTAAGATATTAAAAAAACAAACTGACGAAAATACTTACCTGAAATCAGGGCTTCCCATTCTTATTTAACAATTTTAATTTAAAGTCATCACGGCACTTTGCTGTGAAAAAAACATCCAATGTAATTATTCCCTTTCAGTATATGTAGAATAGTCAAGTGTCACAATAAGCTAAATTGACTTTTTTTGAAACTCATACACACACAAGTTTACTAATTGTTTCCTCCTCAACATCCTGCGTTAGGTGACAAACTACGAAAAAAGGAGAAAAAGGGAAAAAATAATTAAATTCCGACAAATGCAAAGCTCTCGGCTGCCCAACCCGAACTAAATCCTTGAAAAACTTTGACACAAACAAAACGGCGTTGCAATTGTTGTTCGATGTTCTATATTTGGGTCCTAAGCCTCGAGATTTAATGCTCTTTGTGAATGGCAACCAAAGAGAAAGTGAAAAGGTGCACCGAAAAAAAGGAAGGGCATGTTTAACATAATTAAAGCAATAACTGTGATGAGTCAGAAATATTGTTAATTTGTAAAGGCAACAAAAAAATAGTAAAGCCATTTTCTCACCTTTTTTATTTACCCTTTTTGTTAGCTTTCCTTGCTAAAATTGTAATTTATTGTTGTTTATTTTCCACGGCTTTTTTTCCTCAATGATTAATTATTTATACTGAATTTAGTATGTATTAAAAAATTGAATTTCCAAATCATTAGATATCATATTTTGTTGGCTAATTGAGTGAATAAAGTTAAATAAAGAGTAGTAACAACGTTTTCACTCTGTATGATCTGTGTTTGTCCAGGGCCAGTTCCGCAGGTGAATTGCCGGCCGCTTGTCTTGAGTTAAGCTCATTATGTTTACTTCAATCATGGCAAATGCCTCGGACATTTCCCATGGATTATTGATGGAAAGAACTTGACAGTTTCACCTCGGCCACGCGTATGGGCTTTGCCACACACTTGAGATCGTGAACGCGACCCACGCGGCGTATACGCAATGCTAAAGTTTATTGCAAAACGATACAATCGCTTGCTTCAGTCAATTTAAAGAGAGCATATCCCTTCGAATTTGATGTTTATGGCGTTTTGTACGCTTATTGATTTTGATACTTGGCCAATGATAACAGCACAGGACAACAAAGGACACACGACATTAGTCCGTATCCTGCCTGTTGTTGCTCCAGTTGTTGTCCATCGGGGCTTTGCCATTTTTATGGCCAGACTTAAATCCAATCAGAATGGATGGCCCACATAAAAACAAGACGCGTTCATCGATATTGGCAATAATCGAATTTGTAATGCCCTTGAAAGAAAGATGAGTTGAGAATGTAAGAGAATGGTATTACAAACTGTACATATCCTTTAATATATTATAATCACTATCACTTAGAGAAGTTTTACTTTAATTTAATATTTGAATTTGTTCTAAGTTAGGATTTTTAAATGGTAAATCTGAACAAAAATATCACAAAATAATATTTTTTCATCCAAGTCTGTGTTTAAAGTTAGTTCGGAAACTAAAGTTTCTTTATGATATTTTTTGCCCCTGTAATATAATGGACCACACTTTTCATTTTCTTTGGGAGGATATAACAAACCCCTTAGAAATGTTTTTTTTAAGACTGTAATTTATCCAGCCAAAGTTCAAAATAGCTACAGTAGCTAGCCAAAAAAGCTAAGTAACTCCTTCGAGACGCCACCAACTGTAACATTCCGGTTGAAAGTCGAAAGAAATTGTTTGGATTAGGTCCGGAAAGAAGGCAGAAGGAAGCCGAAGGGAAGACTCCTTTGTGCCGCAGTTAGGAACAGTTTGTTTGTGTCTATTCATCGATAGCTAAGCCCCAGCTGAGTATATAGTGCTCAGGAGCCTGGGATGGATTTGCAAAAATAATGCTGGCCATTTCGAGGGGACTGGACGGAGAAGGGCACATTCTGTACAAGTTGAGTAATTTGCATATGACAAATTTTTCAATTAACTTTTTCTCGCCAAACATAAAACAAGTCCCCAGTGAGGAGAGGAATTTGCAGTCAGGTTTTTGGGTCGTAGGGTGGGCGACAATAATAGCAGCAAGGCCGCCGATGAAACAGATATTCGGACAGGGGCATAAAAATTTAATGGCCACTCCATGGCAAACAACATGGAAAGTTTCATTTACGCATTGTCCTGCTGCCATCGTCATCAACACTCTCGATTGCTCTGTCAAGTGCATGTGTGCAGGAAGCGGCTGTGGCAAGGATTCCGGATTCCAGGATCGGAGGGCTGAGGGATATTTGGGGAACCGTGACCACCTCCGTTCATAAATTCTGAAATTGAAAATGGCCTCATTTGCGGAGCGTGTCGAAAATTCGAGTGCCTGCCAACCCCATGTTAAGGTTGCATTGTTTTTGCCCTGTCAACGATGATGATTCTGAACGGAGGATGGTAAAGGTGCTTGTGACGGCCACCATTTGTCAGGCATCGATGAACTTCAGACCCAACTTATCTACTGGATGCGGCACCGCTCACATGAGCAAGGCTCACTGAGAGAATAAATCAAACGTTTGGAAGAGCTTATTCATAAATACATGTAAAACCAAAAGAAAGAGTTTTGAAAATTTTAAAACTTTGAGAACAGAAATAAATCGATTTTTCAATATTCTGTTTTAAATTTTGTGGTCAAGAGTAAATTGGTTTTAATTAGTTTTCCAATTTTCAAACACTTTGTGGAAAAGAGTAATAGTTGTTCTTCAAAAATAAAAGTCTTAAATTTTTTGTTCGGTTCCAGATTTGTTTAATTTTTGTTTTTCTTAGCAATCAATAAATTTTTGTAACCTAGTAAAAAAAGTCAAGTGTAGTATTCCCAAATGGTGTCCCTAATTCTTTCTTAGCCAGTGACAGGATTAGAAATATGCATCCAAATATTTGTACCTCGGAGAAATCCAATTACCAAGCACTTAAAATCCCCCTCAATGCCACTTTGTCGCCAGAGTAAATTAGTATTTCAGCGTCTTTATGCTGAGAGCCTTTAAGTTACGTGACACTTGCAGCTCCGTAACTTTTCCGACTTTGGCAACTGCCGTTGGCAGCACAAGTTACCGCCTGAACTATAAACACGGCGGCCCAACTTGCAACCTGCGTGCCGCATGCCCAAGGTACTCCTTTCATAGGTCTGAGGACCTGGTTCTACCCTGGCTTTGACCTCTCATTTGTGCAGTGGCTGGAAAAGGAACGCAAAGAAACTGGTGAACCAGGCAACCGAAGAATGTAGAAATGTAGCTAGGGAAATAAAGTAGCTGCAATACCGCCAATTTGGGTTGCATCGCTGGTTCGCATGCATAAAATATTGAGTGACACATAATAAAGACCGAGTTGCGAATGCGAAACATGTGAACTAAAGCGGCTCCTAGGAAATAGTGCGCAATTTGTCAGAAGGCAGTAGGGGGTTAAATGGGTACGGGGATCCCGGTGGGGGTTAAACGGTGGGTCGACGACTATTACCCGCGTTAATGTAGGTAACTCACCTTCTCGAGTGCGTTGATAATCTCGTCGGCCTGTCGCTTAATGACTGGCAATTTGCTTGCACCCCCGTGAACAGGAAATTACCAAAGGGTAAACTATAATCGATGATAATTTCTTTAATGTTTCCAATTAACTGGGACAACTTAATTCATAATTCACTTTATTTGGTTCAAAATAAAACGTTGGGGAGTTATTGTGATGTTTTAGTTAATCATGTGATTGCAAATTAGGATTGCATTAAGTCGTTTAATAAATGCAAATTCAGATAACCAATAAATATTGATTTGCATCGCTTGGCTTATGGTAAATGTACAGATTTAAGTAATTGCTCATTGATTTATAATAATTCCCATCATAATCATAATTCAAACATGAGGCCGAATGGTTTGTGCCAAAGTTAGTGTGCTGCAAAGAGGAAATGTGTCCACTTACATACATATAGTAAAAATAAACAAGCACGAAATCAATTCAATCAAAAAGAAATCGCAATCGCAATGGTATTCCAAACATATTGAGTATGGGACTTCCGTCGAAAAGCCACCCGACGTCCTTTCACTTTAACGAATCAAAGCAGCTGACACTTTTGGGACTTTTTGGAAAAAAACAATTCTCTTGCGTGCCAAATGCGGTGCACAATTTTATAGGAATTTGCGGAATTCCCTTCTACGAAAATTTGCGGGCCAATAATATAACGGAAGAAAAGCCATGCCAAATTCCCCTGTTATTACTGGCAAATTTGGTAAAGAAAAACGTTCAAGGCTCTCCACTTTCACTGGACGTAATTTTGGTAAACGCCGCAGAAATGATAAGTACTATGTATAAATGGTCAAACACTTCCCAACGGATGTAATTAGTTCATTTTTTATGGCAAAACACTTCCGTTCATGAATGATGATTATTATAATAACAGGAACAAACTGAAGTTTAGCACGGATTTATAATGGCATCAAACTTAATTAGACAGCCATAAAAGAGAAGCGAGGAGAAAAAGGAAAAATACAAATTACGTTAATCAAGTTAAATTTGCTTAAATTAGGCTGAAAATGTACACCACCCAAAGGCGGGGTTCGGCTTCCTTTCATTGTCCTTCGTTGGCCTTGTTCTTTTAAAGTCAGCTGCAATCGCACGAGGCCATAAATCTGCTGGAAAGTTTTTTGCCAATGTTTGTTATAAGCGAAATTTTCTTCAGACAACAGCAATTATCATAATAGAAAAACAGCCAAAGTTGTGAGGCCCAAAAAGTAAAATTTTAAAAGGTGGGCGAGTTGTTTGTCAAATTTAAAGGAATTTAAGCAAATATGCAAATGCTCTGATTAAAAATATTCGGAAATTATTTCCGCACTTGACGTGCATTGGGGCACGTAAAATGCATGCATAAATTCTCTTCAATAAATTGAAAATGCTAATTACAGTTCATTTAAATTCGTGCATATTGATAATAACTAATATGGCAATGTCAGTTAAATTACCACATATTTTCTGATAACAATATTCGCCCCAATTTTCGAAACCAATGCTTATTAAATGGCATCTACCTAATACTAATTGTGAACCATTATTACACGGACTATATGTCTATGTAATTAATGAGGTTTTTGTTTGGTTCTGCAGAGCCCTAAATATCAAATTAAATGGGAAATCGATAAACAAGTTGCAAATAAATAAATGGATGTAATGTGATATATCACAAGCCGTCAGCAAAACACAAACGAATTGTAGCTAAATGAAAGCACATTTATAGGCATCACGCATGTCTGAAAATACAATACGCTAATAATTATAGAGCGACCTCGAAAATGAACTCGATAATTACATTTTTAAAGTTGCGTTTTATTCTGTAAAAGTATAATATTAATTCGTAAGTTCGAGAAAGTTGTGTAATTTTCTGATATGGCAGACATGTCCCAAAACCGTGAATAAAATATCCTCGGACGACATCTATTTCCTAGGAAGACAACTACCCAGTTTCCTCACATGTATTATTTAGACAAACATTGTTTTTGGCTCGCCTTTAATCTAGTTTTATTGGCGTTGGTTAAATCCAGCTTAAATATTTATAATATCTTTAAATATTTGGAAGCATATACATAAATAAATATTAATCACCTTGAAAAATAAATATATTTAAGTGCTTGAAAAAATGTATTGTTCGATCAATTTTAAAACATATGCACGATTTCATCATCAATTTATTTTGGCCATTTGGCAATTTAACAGTTTATCGACCGAAAGTTTTTTTTTTCAAGTTCATTGAAATAAATTCAGAGCTTATGTGGCCATCTGGCTCAAGAGTTAACTGTGTAGAACAAAAAACTAGAGAATTTCCAAAAATTTATAGAAATCGACAGCAAAACGTTTGATAAATAAATCCTATAGGTCTTGTGGGGATTTAATTGGGACCACAGAAGCCAATTAATATCAAAGTATTGTGGATTGTCGGCTAGTCGAATATTTTGTGGCCCAAACAATACCAATCAATCAGGGCATCAATCATGGTAAAAGGAAAGTGGGAAATTTGATGCCTGAGAGACAACTGGCAATGGGAATGAAAATGGATGAATGTGAACAATTCGTTTATTGAATTTTCGTTGGAATTGTGTCTGCTGCATTTTGAACAGGCCGGCGCAAATAGAAAAGCAGACGAGGCATGGCTCATTGACATTGCTCATACGCACTGTGGCATCCAGACTAAAGAGAACCGACTGGCATTGGAAATTGGGAGTAGTCAGCGGATTAGTCCCTGGCAATCATCGAACAAGGTTCCTCTAATTAATGGTATTTACCATTCAGGCGGTTACAAGCTAATCAATAGGAAGCTCATCAACCACGAACCAAAGACAAAGGCACCCCTTGAAATAATTAGCGACATGTTCATTCGCATCAAGCAGCATAATGCCTGTTATGATAATCGGATACCCAGTCCCACAGAAAGAGGACCCATTCACTCATTCCTCATCGCTTCCATTGGCCATCAGATGTGATTGCAATGAAATTACCACACGATTTCTACTAGTTCTGCTGCTGGTTCAATTTCGATAAGGACACTTCTTTTGTGGCAACTTTCCTTTAAGGATTTTTAGCCCGGCTTGTGCTTCATTGATTTTCTATTGTTATTTCTTCGGCGAAGACGCACACGCAGCTCTGAAATGGTTTGGCAAATCGCAAAGTTTCAGCCATTCTGTGATTGAATTTGCCAAATATTGTTTGCCGTGAAGGGTGGCCAAAAAAAGTTGGATTAAAGTCAGTTATTCTTCAAAGAGATTCTGTCTGTGAAATATGCGTTTAATTTGAGTGTATTTATGGCAAAGCCGAAGAGTTTTGGAACTTAAGTAACCTTCTCAGAAGTTTTACAACTGCTCTACATTTGTAAAAAATCTTTGAGCATGGCTCTGCTTAAAACCTTTATTAAAATATTAAGAAATCTTTTGTAAAATGATACACATTTTGGAAATGGGTTAGGATACAGAGCTTAAGAGTTATTTGCAAAGTGGAATATGATATTTTTTATTTATATCAAACAAATCTTATAACAAGGATATGTAAACTACGGCTGCCTTTGGCTTCTAAATATTTTAGCAACTATTGGTACACCGACGACATTTTTTCATCGCAAATATTTTGCACTGGCCCCCCTGGATATTCAATTTTTGTGAAGTATTTCAATAAACATTGTGTCTGTTTTTGATTCGCCCACAGAGACTTTTTAACCGAGTGCCTGTTTCCATCGCCGACACGACCGTACGAGTTGCCATGGGAGCAGAAAACGATTTGGGCCATTATTTTCGGTCTGATGATGTTTGTGGCCATCGCCGGCAATGGTATTGTTCTCTGGATTGTAACAGGTAAGCTTCGTGATGGTCGATGCGGGAAAACCGCTTTAAGGAGTGAGAGCAGCACGTAAAGGCTGCATTGGCCGTAGCCAGCACCCGCCACCTCGCAAATATCTAAAAATTTTGGGCCATTCTTGGCCATTACTTGGCAACCCTGCCAGCTCCCATTTTCTCGTCCTTCTGTGTATTTTTCCCCCTAATTCTGTATTTTTTTGCCGACTGCCTCTGCAGGACATCGCAGCATGCGGACGGTCACAAATTACTTCCTGCTGAACCTGAGCATTGCCGACCTGCTGATGTCGTCGCTGAACTGCGTCTTCAACTTTATATTCATGCTGAATTCGGATTGGCCATTCGGATCGATTTATTGCACAATCAACAATTTCGTGGCCAACGTCACGGTCTCCACCTCCGTCTTCACGCTCGTGGCCATCAGCTTCGATAGGTGAGTCCCCCCCCCGCCAATTTCCCCCAGCGTCATCTAATCTGTGCGTCGGCACATCCGCTTCCTGCCATCCCGCAGATACATCGCCATTGTGCATCCGCTGAAGCGCCGCACGTCGCGTCGGAAGGTGCGCATCATCCTGGTCCTGATCTGGGCACTCAGCTGTGTGTTGTCGGCGCCCTGTCTGCTCTACTCCAGCATCATGACCAAGCAGTAAGTTGGCAAATGGTACAGAATCCGAGCGGAATTCCCTCACTCTTTTTTGTGCTTCAAAACAGCGGCCTAGAAGTTGCCAATAAGGAAAAAAACCCATAGGAGTTCAAAATATGTCGAAGTTTTCCTTTTGGTCTTCATTTTTGTTTAGCACAGAGAATACGAAACAGGAATCCATTTTAATTTGTTTAGGTCAAAAAACAGACACTCGACTTACTACCTTACTAATTATTCTTTAGCCTGATAAGTTAATCTGCCTAAGACTAAAACATAATTCAAATAAAGTCTTATGAAAAATGTTATTAATATAAGTAGAATTAAAAAATATAAAGCTCAATCGCACCTCTTGAATAGTTTCTCCAGGGCATTGCTAGCTTCGGTACACATGACCAGCACTTCCTTTTGTTTCTGTTTAATCTTAAGGTGAAACACAAGATGGGAGGCATAAACAAGTTTGTAAGCCAGGCTCCCTGCGGAATGGTAGTGGAGCATCTCCCGCGGCTTCTGTATCGATTTGAGAGGCCAAACAAATATAAAATGAAATTCCTTCCACCTTCCTGAAATACTTCCATATTTTTTCATGTTTTCTTCTCTTTGTCGGCCATTTTCGGTGTTGATATAAGCATCCACATCCATCTAAATCACCTCGTCACCTCGGCTCCTTCGGCTTCATTTGAATTTTACGCAAATTCGCAACAGTGCGACGGTGTATTTCTGGGGTCCTGGACCGAGCGGGTGTCCTGTTTAATAGAATTGAAGCATTTTTTATTTAGACTCTGAGCAGGCAAAGCCCCAGTCGGGATAAAAGGTTTCCCGGGGTAACAGACTTGAGGCATAATAAAGATGGCAAGTTCATATATCAAATTGTGATAAAGAATAGCCAAGGCGAGGCAAATCGAAAGTCAAGCCCAGGCATATTCTGGCAAGGACATATAGAAGGCACTGCAAGTGGGGATATATGGTCGAGCGGCAGAACTTCGAGGAAAAACATAAATGCGATGAATATTTTCGAGGAATCCCCAAAGGAGATATATATTTGCATGGGGTATTATTGACAGAAAAAGTACGAGGAATGCACAGATTAGCCAGAAATAAGTGATACAAAAAGAGGTTTCTATTTATAGCCCGTAGAAATGCTAAGCAATATAAAATTAAAATAGATAAAGTACGTTAAAGATAACAATACCTGCTTGCAAATGGACATTTAAAGGAATTTTATTTTCTTTAAATCAGAACTTTCAATAAATTAAATTTACCGTCTATCAGGAGATTATTGACTGCAACAATGTTTAATCTGTACAAAATAAGCTTAAAATTCGAGCGTGACAAATCAAATAATGCGAGGATTAAACCAACTTCCGACAAAATAGCAGAATAAAAACAACACATTTCCAAATGAATCAATGAAGTCTGGTGCGAAATGTCCTCCTTTTGCCTCCCGGTCTCGCTTATCAACATCGTTGGTCAAATTATGACCTGTCTACCAGTTTTCGAGTTATTAATGGCTGGAAAATTGGTGGTAAGCGGACAGGTACGGGTTCGTGTGAAACGGGGAAAACAGCCCTTTTAAGTGCTCGACAACGTTGAGGTATGAAATACTTCACAATTTACCAAATTACATTTTCAATTTGATGATAAAAGGTTACTTCACTTCTGCCACTTCCTTAGTACTTAGACCTGCCAAAGCGTGAAACTTGACAACTTTTTATGAAAGAGGAACTCTGTGGCGTAATTAAATGATGAAATTTCGACTTATCAGTTTCCGGAATTTAAATGAACACTTTAATGGGCCAGTATTAACCTATTGAAATTGACCTTTTGCAGCTATTACAATGGAAAATCGCGGACAGTTTGTTTCATGATGTGGCCGGATGGCAGATATCCCACTTCGATGGCGGATTATGCGTAAGTTTATGAAACTCTTTTGTACTAACTAATATTGAACAAAAGCGTGATGGGTTTTATGTTTTTATAAATGTATAATATTCATATTATACTTTATCTTTTGTCCCAACAAATATTGAACTTAGCCTGAGGGGTTTAATGTATTTAACAAATATATATAATACTTTATTTTACTTTATACTTAACTTCAATAAGGTAAAATACGATATCTTAATATAATGTTATGTTCTGACTGCTATTAATTTTGCTGATTTAGAAACATATAGTTTATCTGTCTTAGGACTGAAACCGAGGGTCTGAATTGGTGCTTCCCAACAATTTAATTTATTTATAACTTACTCTCACAGATAAAAAAAAAAAGATAAAAGTTAATCCATATGCAACCCTCCCATTAGGTACAACCTGATCATCCTGATACTGACCTACGGCATTCCCATGATAGTGATGCTCATCTGCTATTCCCTGATGGGGCGAGTCCTTTGGGGCAGCCGATCGATCGGCGAGAACACGGATCGCCAGATGGAGTCGATGAAGTCGAAGCGGAAGGTGGTGCGCATGTTCATCGCCATCGTGTCCATCTTCGCCATCTGCTGGCTGCCGTACCACCTGTTCTTCATCTACGCCTACCACAACAACCAGGTGGCATCCACGAAGTACGTGCAGCACATGTATCTCGGTTTCTACTGGCTGGCCATGTCCAATGCCATGGTCAATCCGCTCATCTACTACTGGATGAACAAGAGGTAACTGGAGTGATGAATCTTATTTTAGATGAGTGTATCTCATTTGCGCCCTCGACAGGTTTCGGATGTACTTCCAGCGTATCATCTGCTGCTGCTGCGTGGAGCCTCACCCGCCACAGGTTCGACTCGCCGAAGAGCCGGCTGACCAACAAGAACAGCTCGCACCGGCACACAAGAGGTGGGTACACCGTCGCCCACTCGCTCCCCAACTCCTCCCCCCAGACCACCCAGACCCAGTTGCACTTGTCTCACCACATACCACTCCCCCCGCAACCTTCCGCAGCGGAGAACAAAAGTCAGTGGAAGCGCAGCACCATGGAGACCCAGATCCAGCAGGCGCCGCTCACCAATTCTGGGCGGGATCAGAGGACCGCCCAGCCACTGAAGGCGGTGGACGGGCCCAGTCGCGTGGGCGTGGAGTGCATCATGGAACGGCCGGCGGACGGGAACAGTTCGCCGCTCTGCCTTTCGATCAACAACAGTGTCGGCGAGCGGCAGCGCGTGAAAATCAAATACATCTCCTGCGACGAGGACAATAATCCAGTGGAGCACACACCCAAACAACTGTGATGCTGGCCCGATTTGTCCTGCCACTCGAACGGATTGTGAATCCTCGCTCTGGCTCTTCGTTTCGCTGCGGGGGAAATGCAATTTGCCATTGCTTACTCTATTCTGTACATACACCCACTCCCGCAAAACGAAGAAAAACGCATGCAGAGCAGGGTGGGTCGATTTTTGGCACAGAAAACAGAAAATAATTTATTATTCAAAAAACCCTATAACATTAATAAAATTACGTATCATTTGAGAAATACATTTCAAAAATGTTAGCTCTTCTTGGTCTTAAATGTTATCAGTAACAAAGGGTTTTACTGAATTAATTTTCTGGAATAAGTAGATAAGCAATTTTGTACTAAACCTTGTTATAGGCATTTAGTTAATCATTTATAACCATTTATGTTTTAATTTTTTTTTCCTCTTTAATTTACTTGAGTCCATGCGAATCGAACCACCCTAATGCAAAGTCGAATTTCCGGTTGTCAAAAGAAAATGCTTCAGCAAGAAAAAATAAATTTCCAATAAATAGAATTTGTATGTATATACGATATATAAAAGGATGTATTGACACTTTAACCATCGAAGAGCTGTAAGTTTTAACTGTTGTAAACATCTAGGCTAAGCCAAGTTTGTAAATACATTCTGTGTATATCCGATAAATATATCTGTGTATATATTTGTGCTATTCGTTTGATTAAATCAATTAAACGAGTAATAAAATGTATATTTCTAAGCTGTTTAAAGCTCACTTTATTAATAGAAAAACAATTCATGTTATTGGTTTTGGTTTTTGTCTATGACATCTGTAAATAAATGTGGAAAATCTTTTGGGAAATTGCAACATCAATGTGTGGTTGATTTAAATAAAATGGACTAGGCGACACTTTCATGCGGCTAAATAATCAGATGCAGTTTATTGTACCTCAAAATTGTGGTAAGTAATCCGAATTACTGTCTATAATTGGTGGCAACTGTAATATTTATGACCACAAGTCATTTCTCTTTAGCTTAAGGGGTTACTTAATATTCTAACTGAAAATTAACATTAATTTGGGATTAATTTGCTTGAACAAATACTAATTTGCTTGGGAAAATGTGCTGGTAATATCATTAGACGAGTCCTAAAAGGGAATTTGCATTCTATTATGCTCGCAATCGCATTATTTATGCAAAGCTGGGAGTCCAATTCCATTCAACCAAGTTGGCCATGCACGAGTTCATACTATCGTGGGTGTACTTATTACTCAGCCATTGCCAAAAGCTGGGTGGCTATGGGTGAAAGAAAATTCGCTCAAAAAGCGAATCCTTTCAAATGCTCGCCAATCATATCTATATCTTCTTCAATTCAGCTCCTTTTCAATAGTTAAAGGGATGCCGCCTTTATTCAACACAGAAGCAAACAGACTCCTGCTTAAAAAAAGGCAGATATTTGCTTAATGGTAAGCGATTACAGAATGTAATTGAATTGCAAGCCGAGAACGAAACCGAAAACGAAATTTAACCCCATCAGAAACCACTTGGGGAACATTAAACTATCTAATTGAATCACAAACATTTTCAGTGCACCACATTCGCGTATTTTCCATGCAAACTGGATAGAAACCGAAACCCAAACCAGAACCCAAACCAAAACCAAAATCCAAGCGCTACATTTTTATTGCCTGGTTTTGGCAGTTGGAGAAAAAGCAGCGCTAATGCGTTAAATTGCTTGTTGCAAAGAAGCCACAATGAAATCGATGGACGAGATGGCGAGTGGCCCACAAGGCGTTTTTTATTCGAGGTAATAGGATTTGATGGGTTCGAGGAGTTTCCAGCCTCAGTCGGAGAATAACAATTTGCATAATAAGTTGATGTTTGTTACGCAGTTGCCCCACTTGTCAGTCTCCTTTTCCATTGTCATGACAGCCGCAAAAAGCCTTTAAGGAATGAAAAGGCAAACCAAAAATCAGCTGAAAAGATTCTATTACCATCTATGGTACATATGTTGGGTTCTAGTACACAGACATATACATATGGTGCGGCGTTACCCAGGCAACAGACTGAGGTTAAGCCTGGGGTCACACCGCAAATTGCCAGAGCAAGTAAGAGTGGTCTGGCACCAAATTAGGTAAGTATCATATCGAATTAAATGGCTTCTCAATTTGCATGCATGTTTCATTCAAAGAGCTCAATAGTATTGCCTTAATAAAGAGCTGTCCAAAAGGTAAAAGGTCATCTGCATTACCAAAATTAAGCGGAGTCCCGTAAATTTAACTGTCACGGCCATGTTTCTGTCAGAGCATTCGTTTCTTATTCCACCAAAAGGATTGGCATTTTATTTATTTATTTTTTTTTTGGAATACAAAATGTTTACCTGCGAACTGCGAGTGGGCAAATAAAATGTAAAAGAGGGAAGTAATTGGCAGAATAACCCATCTCTTAAATGGTCAGTTCCATATTTATCAATGGCTGTTGAACTAAGTTTGCAATTAATATTTAAGAATGCACAAACATGTAAAATGTTGCCGTTTGGTTTGAAAGGAATTTGGATGTGCATTTGTTTAAAATATTTCAGTGGTGTCTATGTTAATGAACAAAAGTCGTTTTACAAATTGATAAATTCGTAAGTAATTGAGACAGCAGTCCCATTCAAATTGTTAGCTTGCCATTTTAATGGGGATGCTATTAGCTTAAATTAATACATTTTATGAGCATCAATTTAAATTTATTGGGGAAGCACATTAGAAATAAAGTTGTACCTTTATCGACAGCTTTGTTTTCACTTTAAATTGATCACATTTAATGTCGGTTTCTAACTTCATTCAAGGCAGTGTGGTGTTATCTATCAATCCATATTCAAACGTCTCATAGAGAACACAACTTGTTGTACACAGAAGGTATAAACTTGTCGTTTAGACGCAAACATCAGAAATTTTGAACAGCCCAAAAACAGACGAATAAAATTCGAAAATGATTGGATTTGGGGGCACTTTCAAGGTTTTGGCGGCCCTTTCGGGAATGATGTTCATGGGCTATTGCGTGTACTTCGACAAAAAGCGTCGCAGCGATCCCGAATTCAAGAGGAAGTTGCACGAGCGGCGCAACAAACGAAACTTCGCATCCTTGAGGTCCTCAGGTTCGGCTAATATGAGCGACAAGGACATCGAGATGTACTTCATGACCCAGATCCACAAGGGCGAGGGCCTGATCACGAACGGCGACATCGAGGGCGGGGTGGACCACCTGATCAACGCGATCCTCGTCTGCAGCCAGCCGGGAAAACTGCTCCAGGTGCTGCAGAGCACCCTGCCCATGGAGATCTTCACCATGATGCTGGTCAAGATGCATGCCTACGAGGCCGCCGAGCGCAGTTCCCCCGTCATCATGGACGAGGAGGAAGGATAGACTTTTTGGTGCTCCAGAAAATTAAGGGTCTCTGTTTTTCTTCACGACCAATTGGATAAGTTTTCTGTGAGGTCTGAGTAGCAGGGAACATTCTTTGGTTCACGTATTTCGGGCAAATACATACAATGTATACTAGTATCTGGTCTTTTGCGTTGCCATGGCCAACTTGGCCAACAATTTTGGGGAAACTTTGCAGCCATCAGCCAAGTTGGCAAATTAATGACTTCGATTATGTTGTCTAGCGTAAAATTTTCCATTGCCATGTTATCTTCATTTCGATCGATGATTGGTGGTAGGAGGAATTGCTAAGCCCAGCTAAGTAACTTTAAAGCAGCAGTCAAGGCCTTTGCTTTCAGAGTTTTGTATCCATGTGGGCAGAAGTTGTAACAAGTAAATAAGTATGTTACAATCAACAGTTTTTAATGCGTGAAAAGCTTATTGTTTTTGTTTTTTGTTGTGACCGATTGTGATTAACCTTTAACCTTCCGTAAAGCTTTTCACCAAGTCATCAAATCTCAATTTACTCGCCCATGCTTGCTCAAACAATCACTCGGCATAACAATTAAATTCTCAGCACGGATTTTATCCCACTGTCGAGATTAGCATGACAATTGCGTTCTACCAGTATCTGCATTTCTCATGTCGATTGGCAAGGGTTGACTGCCCACTGTTCACTAACAAAATGTCCGACGTTCCATTTCCGGCTATGCGGCATTTACGCTTGCATGGGTGTGTGTCCGTGTGTGAGTTGTGTTTGTGTTGGCCAACAATGGCAGGCAAACAAACCGTCCTTCTGGGAATGTCCTTCGTCGTCCTGCGGCTTTCGTGCATAATTTGCCAGGAACACACACCCTCAGCACATCTGACCCCTTCACGGGAATTTGTCATCCGGATGCGTTTGATTGATGGTCTAGTGGTATCGTCGATTGGCCAAATGACCGAGAATACCCACCGCCAACTCTGCTCGCTTTAAGCTGTCGAGTTGGCCATTAGAGACATCTTGTTGGAGAACTAAGCCCCACGGGCAACTCAGTTGAGCAAAGGAACACCACAGCAGATATTCTGCATCTCTTAAAATTTGAAGGGGTTACCTATACAACGAAAGTGGTGGGCTGTGAATAACAGACCTTCAGACTAATTTCAAATTATAATTTATATGTCCATATGTTAATTTCCTTTGAACAATTTATTATTTAAAAAGGAGTTTTCCACAGGGATTTTTAATAGAAAAGTGCAAAGTGCTTACAACATAAGAAGTACTCAACTTTTGCATTCTTTTTTGCTTCACCCTTGTTCTATGACCATATGACGCCCAACCGAAAGTTGAACCAAGTTCATTTATCTGAATATTAATTCTAGTTTCCCAAAACCCTTCTCTAACTGTTTTATTGTGTGTTCAAGACTTTAATGGACGATGGACCACATTAAAGGGTAACAATCTCTTTAACGCCCTTTGCTGGCAATTAATGAGTGGAAAGTTCTCGATTCGAGTTCCCGCGAATGTAATTACATAAAGACCTTTTGCGGTGTTCTCTTTTCCTTCCTGCCATTGTCCAGTAATTACCAGATAAAATAGACAGTCGAATGGTCAGGGAATTGAAGCTTTGTTGCCCGGCACTAATTTCCAAGCTAAGCAGCAGGCTATAATGATTTTCGCTTTGAAGCAGTCTGGCATCAAAGATTTTGCCCAAGGAGCAGCGACTAATTTAATGAAATATCCTGGAAGAATACCGAGCCCGAGTGTCTCGACTTTGAACAGTGCTGTGCTCAATTATTCCATCTCATTTGGAATATTGGCAAATTAGTAAAAGGTATTTGACCTTTACTGAGTGGCACTCCAGAAATTCTGCTAAAAGAAATCAATACCACATTTTTTTTTTGCAAAATGTCAAACGTAGCAATCGTCCCACAGAAAAAATCAATTAAATTAATTGATTGAATTTTTTGTTAGCCTTATAAATACATTTAACACATATGTATGTAGAATGTGTGTTTATGAGACCTTTTATTGACAGCTGTTTGGCTTTCGAATTCGATGGAATGGCCATTACCATAAAGATATTAATAAGGCTCAAAGCAGGAAAACATTGAAAGAAATAAAGGTCGTTTATGAACATATTAATTATTTATTTTAATTTAAAATTAAAAATAAAAAGTTCATAAAATTTTTGAAAAATAATCTATAATCAAGTATCAAAATAATTAATTTTGGCTACTTCCTTGAAACTTTTTTGGTTAACAATTAATTAATTGACCAATGAAGTAAACATATTTTTCCCAGTATTTGCCATTTTCATCCCAGACTAACTGGGCTGCTCAGAAAAAGTAGTTAGGCCAAATGGAAATCGAGACAGACATGAAAGTGCGAGTAGTGCCTGGGACGTGGGGCCACATCAAACAGACTAATTGGTCGGGGCAACCACATTCGCCAGGAGTTGTGGCACGGGAGATTAATGAAGGGGAGGTGTCATTATCGCTGATGCCCAATTATGCCACGGCTGGCAAATGTCATTAATATCTGCCCAGAATTGGGGATTTCCGAGCATTGTTTTTCCAGCAACCTCAGAAATTCAATGCCAGAGATGACTTTAACATAGTTTGTTTAGGCAGAGTGAAAAGCGTACCATTTTCACCCCTTTTTATTTGGAATTTGCTCATACCTTACGCTTGACTAAACTGAAATTTGCCATAAGCCGTATCAGGGCAACAGAACAGAAAGACAACAGAAGTGAAAAAACGAATCAAGCCCAACCCAAGTCACCCACTTCATAAACCATTTGGCAACGCACGTAAGTTACACAGTCTCACAATGGCGCTCACACTCACACTCACACTTAGGCACAAAAGCCGCTGCCCCTCTACACAAACAAACAATGATTCACACGCACGGAGACTTTCATTTCCTGTCAGCGGAAGTGGTTGCTCCGCATGTGTGAGTGTGTCAGGTTCTATATCATTGCTTTGCACTTTTTGCGCACGTTCCACAATTTTTACCCTCAGCTGTTTTGAATTCCATTTTTATGTTTGCCTTCCGAGCATAGGGACAAAAATGTGCGTCCAAGCGTTTGCATATAGTAAAGCGTAAGTTCAGTACACCGAATGCATTACGTATACGCCATGTGTGCTGGGATAAGAAAGAAGAGGAGTCGTTGTTTGCAAGAAGGTTTTCGGCAAACAATGGGAACATGAGATTCTCTGCAATCAAGTGTGATTCTCCAACACGTTCCAACACCATGCAAACAGCAAGAATGCGCATATTGATAGTTTACAGCTTTCACTAGGGGAAAGAGATTATTGTGAGTTTTCCAGCTGAAAATAGAGGATTTACAACACTAAACAGGTTTATCTGCGAGTATTTTCCATGCAAAAGGGAAATAGGTCTAGACTTTAGAAGATACGCAGAAAAAAAAGAAAAATTGGGGGCGAAAATTGATTAAATTTGCACTTGCTTGCAATCGGTGACTAACTCTCGCAACTTTTGACTTTAATTCCTTGTTCGCCTTCTTACAAAATTAGGAAAAGCCCAATGGATTTACATTTAAATTGACATTCTCTCTTCCGTAAATAAAGCTAAAAGTACTGCGGTAATAGTTTGAGACTTATACAACTTAAAGAGCTTCAAAGCCGACACAAGAGCAATAAGAATTCATTTTATAGCCTTTCCTACCTGGATAACAAACTGCATATGGATGGCTTCCTAGCACTCAACTCGGGGCATGTAGAGTCGGGACCGGTCCATTGCAGGCTCACATCATTGTTAAGTGGAATTAGGGGAAGGACTATTTTATTGCAGCAATTTCCACTAAGCCAAAGCCAACAGCCGGAATATATATAAATCCTGCCGGCAGCACCGCAGCAGATATATTGTTTGGGGCAAAGTCTGCAAAGTTTCCAAAAAGGAAATGCGCTGGCTGGCTTTACTTCCTTCAGTTTGTAACTTTTATAAGTATGTTTATAGTGTGGGCGTATGGGTGTTTTCGTCTGAGCAATGGTGGTCGTACACGCTAGTCCTGCCATCAAATTGCATTCTGTTTGCATAGCCGCCCAGTAACCACTTGCCATGAAAGTTCCTCTCAGCACCCCGCCTACTTCTCGACATGGATCGAGAGGCAAGTTGGAAATGTCGTCAAAGGATTTGTGACGCAGAACTCGCAGGACCGACTGCAGCAAACACAGCGCAACAGCTGGAAAACCAATTTTTACTAAGTGCTGACGCACCCTTCGATTCTGAGATGTCAAAAACTAATTCACTGGCTCCATTCCGCAGTCGAGATGGGAAATCTACATACTGCCCGTTGGCCGGCGGAACATTGGCCTAATTGCTGCCTACCAATTTAAAAAAGGTCCTTTGACTGGCCGTGGCATCCTGCGTGGTTCCGCTGCCACTTCCACCCTCGAATTTGTAGGCGATGCGGCGGGAAATGATGGAAACTAACGCTGCACCTGTGGCACGACACCACAACGACAATCGGATGGCACGGAGATTAATGACGGTCATCCCCTAGCAAACTATGCACTCCAAAAAAAATGTGTCATTAATTGCAGTAACTTTAAACTTAAAATACAAGAATACTGCTGATGTGTTGATTTCTTTGCAAGCCATTAATAAACTTCATTTCAAAATTAAATTACAATTTTTGAACTCTCTTAAGATAATTATTTGATTTTAAATTTATTTTGATTTCAAATTTATTTTTATATTTCAGTTTTCGGTTATTACATTTTTTTGTATATTCATAGTGACACTTTAAGGTACAAACTAATATCCAAGAATAGAATATGGCTTATTTGAAGGTTTGTTTTAAGTTGGGAGTAGGAATTATTTAAATTTTTACAAGTTAGCTTTATTATTTTATTAACCTATTTATTTAAGAAATTCCAACAGTTGCATAAAATAACCATTTTTTTCAGTGTGTCTATCGCCTGAGGACATTTTTCCTGCCTCTGACAATGTGGCAGTGTGGTTTCGCCGTTGGGCTTTCTGGAGTGGCACAGGGTCTTGGGCACCGGAGTGCTGAAAAATGTAGCCGCATGTTTGCGGTGGCTAACAGCGCCTTTAGGGACTCGCCAAGTCGAATGAGGAATGACAAAAAGGACATTCAACTTGCAAAACTTGCTTATCCTTGGCCAGCGGGTGG